AAAATCTTAAAAAAACAAACAAACTTAAAAAATGAAGTGCTTAAGAAGAATGGAAACATGTGTACACGTCCTGTTTTCTAGGCTAACTGGCTGTAACATGTCACATGACAGAAGATCTCGGCAAAGTAGAAGCAGCAGTCTGGAAGGATTTCAAGCAATTGGCTGGACCGAACAAGATGGCTGACAACAAAAAGGGACGTCAACTCTGATTCTGAGGGTCTGAATAATGGCTCGCGTGGAAGTTTAAAAATGTATCTCCGTCTCCAAGAAAAAAAAGATTGCTCCACTCTTGACATTCTGAAAACCTAAAGAGAAAGCCATTTTTTTTCTTTTCTTCTCAACTCCTCAGGAGATAAAAGCCAAGGAATCATCTAGAAAAATAATGAGTCTCTTAGAGATCAAATCTCAGAAAGTGATCAAGGTCAAATCAAGCAGGTACAGTAGAGACTGAATGATCCAACCTAGGATCTGATCCTACATTAAAAAGCAACCAAAAAACAAAACAACCTAAGGGCATCTGGCTGGCTCTGTGGGTGGAGCATACAACTTTTGATCTCAGTCCTGAGTTTGAGCCCCATGCTGGGCGTGGAGCCTACTTAAAACAAAACATAATGTAAACAAAAATTCTACAAAACCAAAATACTGAAAAACAAAACCCCAAAAACCCAAAATAAAGAACACTGTTAAACATAATTCTGGATTCTTGACTCATTTTATCAGTTTTACCCATAAGACCCTAAAGATGGGTGAGAGCAGAGACAGCTGCCATCGTGCTGATCACAAACCAGCAACAGAAACAGGCATTTCAAGTCATCTTTCTGTGCTCCTTAAAAATGGTGTCATGTGGGGCACCTGGGTGGCTCAGTCGTTAAGCGTCTGCCTTCGGCTCAGGTCATGATCCCTGGGTCCTGGGATCGAGCCCCACATCGGGCTCCCTGCTCTGCGGGAAGCCTGCTTCTCCCTCTCCCACTCCCCCTGCTTGGGTTCCTTCTCTTGCTGTGTCTATCCCTGTCAAAAAAGAAATAAAATCTTTAAAAAAAAAAAAAATGGTGTCATGTTTTCCTTTTGTTCTTGTTGCTCTGGGTGAGGTTTTTCGGTGGGTGTCTAGGTTGACGAGAGCTGACCCTACAGAATCCCCATTTTATTCTTCCTGCTGTCTTGGGGTCTCTTCACCAACACTCGTTACCATCAACACGCTTATGAGCCTGTGTTGGAACAGCAAGGAGAAATGGAGAGAGCTAACATTTGACATGAGGGGTCACAGTTGCCTGCTTACAAGCGTTCCTTACTAAAATTGCTACAGTGACTAGCACCACTCATCAGCTGTGAATAACCATGGCTACCAAGATGGCAGTTCACAGAAGACATCCGACACACTGGAACTCGTACATCGCAATGGATATGTAACCGAACACTGCTAATGGTTTTTGATAGCCAAAGAATTCTGAATCAGCCTGTGGCCCCACCTGCTTGGCCACTAACCACTGGGGTGACACGGTATCCCCAGGGGAAGAGCAAGAGGCTGAATACCATCAGCACTGCCGCACTGGCATTCGGCAGAGATACTTACTCTACGGATAGGTGTGGAGGTGGGGGAAGGCCTGGGACTGCTGTGCGTTTTGGAAGCAGACTGCCCCTCAGGTGAGCTGGTAGGAGAGGAAGAACCCTGGGACGAATGGCTAAGAACAGAGTCTTCTTCAGGGCCAGACTCCAGCATCTCGCTCTCAGAGGGCATGCCCTGGTCTGCAGGTGTCATGGGAGGAGACTTGGCTTGAGGAGGTTTCGCAGCCAGGATATCCTGCAAAACCACTACGGGCACCTTCCCTTTGAACAGGATGCCCCTGGCTTCACTCCAACCATCCTGGTCCCTCTCGGAGCATGTTCTCGGACCACCTGTCGGCACAGGGCTGCTTGGGGGCGAGGCTTTCTGCCCATCTCCACTCCTCTCTGCACCCCTGGAGCCAGCACCCTCCTCTGTTTTGCATGGAATGTCTGTAAGGGTCTCCTCAGGGTATGTCAGCTCGTCCTCCAGACTGGCCTCCAGCGTCGCCCTGTCACATCCAGCTTCTTCTCTGACCCCACTTACAGCCTCCTCGGAGGGAGAGGCTGCAGCATCTAGTTTACTGTGGGCCAGAAGGCCATCTAGTTGGTCACTCGAGTCCTCCGTCAAGTCAATGATGACTGTGGTCTGGTCAATACTGGTTTTGACTCTGCTTCTTAAAAAGTTATCTAAGGGACCCTTCCCATTGACAAGTTTTGGACTACAGTCTATGTCAGAGCCCATATGACAGTTGTTCTCCAAGGCGTCCAAAGAAGTCTCCAGATCAGGTACTTGACTTTGTGCAGGAGTGCCCTCAGAGCTCCTCATGTCATCTGACCCATCCTCACTCTTCTCCTTTGGAACAAGATTCAGGCGCTTGAAGGGCAGACGAGCTGAAACAGAGAGAGGAGGCCATCTTTATGGGGAAAGTGTGAAGAGCGACAACCCATCAATAATTTAATATTCCATATGCTCAACAAGTATCAACCTTGCTGGGCTGGAGGTGGGCCCAGGAGGTGGGGATTCCCCTATAAAACACTCATGCCCTCGGGTTCCACAGTTTGCCCCTGTCCGTGATCGTTTCACCTCAAAGACTGTTGCCCTTAACGTGACTCCCCTCAACACCAAACTTGCTATCAGTCATCATGGCAGGAGGAAAGCTGCTCCAGGAGAACCAGATATCAAGTTTTAAAAATCAGAAACCATAGTTTTTTATACAGTCACTTAGCTAATCTGGCCTAAGGGCAAATATACTACTCTTTTCATACAGAAGGATTTGGACACATTTATTGTCCTGTACAACAGTGGTTCAACCAGGGGCAGTTGTGCCTGCCAAGGATTTCTGGTGAAGTCTGGAGATATTATTGGTTGTCATGACTTGGGTGAGCGACGAGGGACACTGCTAAGCCCTACATTATAGAGGATAGCCCCACACTGTGACAAAAAATTACAGAACATCAACAGTGCTGAAGTAGAGAAACCCTCATAAAGTCAGTGACCACTGGATTTGCTTCTGAGAACCTAAGAAAACAGTAACAATCACATGGATTCCCCAGCTTCTGACTGGAAGGTGCAATTGTTTATCTTGCCCCTAGCCCTTGAGGCTTCTGCTGAGGACCCCAGCAGAAGGCCCCTGCTCAAAGAAAATTAAAAATACAAATGAGGAGACAATGAAGGATATAAATTAGGAACAGTATTTAACCCTTCCCAGACAGTTACCTTGTATTAACTTCTTGACTGGAAAAGCTGGTCTGTCTTTGCAGTCCATGGCTGTGAATGAAGTGTCAAAGGATAAGTTATTAAAAGTTGGAAATAATGAAGTAGTAAATACATATGCAGCCACCTACTATGTCCAAAGTGGTTGTCCAGTGGGGGCGATTTTGCCACCCCCACCAAGGGGCCTTTGGCAATGTTTAGGGGCATTTTTGGTTGTTGTGAGGGGGGAGCGTCTAGTGGGTAGAGGACAGAGATACTAAATATTCTAAAATACACAGGACGGCACCCACGACAGAATTATCTGCCCCAAATGTTAACAGGTTGAGAAATTCTGTTCTCAACACTGTCATACCTTCTCATCTCTGTGTGGTAATTATCACTCTGAATCTTACATTATTATGTCCCCCACCCCCCCAATACCAGCTCTGTGACAACAGGGAGATTTGTTCCACACTGTACCCTTTGCACCTAGCTCAGAACTGGCACATAGTGGGACACCAATGAGCTGGTAACAGGGACAGTGGAAAGGGGAAAGATGGGGCACCTGGCTGGCTCAGTTGGTGGAACATGCAACTCTTAATCTCAGGGTCATGAGTTCGAGCCCCACACTGAGTGTAGAGATTACTTAAAAATAAAATCTTAAAAAAGAGAGAGAGAGAAAAAAAAGGGAAACGAGTGCAGAGATGACAGAAAACACTGCATTACCAATTTCACCATTAATGACCCCAAAATGTTCTCCTCCAATCAACCCATCCCCACCACCAAATCTGCAAAATCAGAATAGGGCTTATTTTCTTTTTTAAATAGAGTCCATACTGGGGCGCCTGGGTGGCTCAGTCATTAAGCGTCTGCCTTTGGCTCAGGTCATGATCCCAGGGTTCTGGGATCGAGCCCCACATCGGGCTCCCTGCTCTGTGGAAAGCCTGCTTCTCCCTCTGCCCATTCCCCCTGCTTGTGTTCCCTCTCTGGCTGTCTTTCTCTCTGTCAAATAAATAAATAAATCTTAAAAAAAAAAAAAGTTTAAATAGAGTCCATACAGGTAAAACAATTTAAAGCATGTTGAGCTTGCCAGGCTGGAGCTGAGGTGCTGTCAAGAAATAAGGGAGAATGTTCTCCTGCATGAAAAAAATCTCAAGAAAAGCATCTAATGATATCAAAGCTGATGCAGAAATGACTGTAAATAGAACTAAGTCTTTGGGAAAATATGCTTAAATTGGTTAGAATAAGTTTAGAAGCTGACACCTGCTAGGAGATCTGGCTTGAGAAAAATCTAGGTTACTTATTTGGGCCAATCTACATATGTTTTGTAAAAGATACATACACGTAAGTATTTTTAAAAAGCAGATCAAGGTTTCTAAAAAACTTGCTGTCCATAGATGAAACTGCTCTCGCCTACCCTCCAAGCTTGGAATACCAATACCCTGAGGATTCACATTTCCTTTCTACCCATTTCAAGACAGTATCATTCTCAAGCCCTTGTTTACCAAAGACATGATTTTCACCCCTCGACTGAAGTATACGTAATCTTTACCTACTTATTTTTAGGACAACCACAAGTATTTACTGGTGTGGCCCTGAGTCACCAGCTTTGATGTGAGTGAAACACAAGTGACCTAGGCCCAGAAGCATAAAAGAGTAGCCCACCCAGGGATCTGAACTGTTCAAAGGAACACATACAATTAACACACACTCCTGTCTAAAGTTACCAATGCTCTTTATTCTGAGATTACATGCCTCCTAATTTTATTTAGCATTAAAACGCACCTTCCCTTTATGATAGGGTGGTCACAGCAAGGTAGTGTTTTTTAAATTTTTAAATTAAACATTCTTACTGGATCAAATGACTGCCCAGGACAATCGGTCCCAACTTTACTGATATGAATTTTATGTCTCCGTGAAATTTCAAAGTTTGGAAACAACTGGAACAGTGCTTCTCAACGAGGGGGCCATTTTGCCCCCTCATCCTGAGGGGCAATGCTTGGATACATTTTTGGTCATCACACATAGAAAAAAGGGGATGCTACTGGGATCTAATGGCTGGAGGCCAGGGATGCTGCTCAACACCCTACAATGCACAGGACAGTCCCAAATGTCAACAGTGCCCACCCAGGTTGAGAAACCCTGGAGTGGACTAGTTGACCTCCCTGTCAACCCTTAAGTCAATGAACAGGTTATTTGTCGGGCACTTACTATGTGCCAAGCATTGCGCCTGTGCTAGGGACAAAATGGAAGTCAAGCAAGGTAGACAGGCAGTCTGGTCCTCTTTGGTTCACCATCCCACGTTTCCGAGGCCCTGCCAGGTGCTAGAAAGCCCCCTCCCAAGGTGGGGTGGGGGAGGGGAAGGCAGGTCTTCACCTTGCATATCGGGCAGGATCAAGAACCCAGGAGTCCCAACTCCCTGACGATCCCACCATCCAGGCCTCTTACCTGGGCTTGCCCTGACCCGCAGACGCAGCTGTTGTGGTCCCCGAGCCCGTGTGCCCCCGGGCCTCAGTTTCCCCAACCGGCCAGAGGGTCGCTGCACGGTCCAACTTGCTCAGGGAACACAAACGCACTCAGCAACCTGCAAAGCCAGCCCTTTCGCCTCCCTGGGCCTCAGTCTCCCCTCCGGGCCATACCGACCCGTCACCGCAGAGAGCCCTGCAAGGACGAACTGACGCAAAAGCGCCGGGAAAAAAATGGTCGCGGCCGCAACAATAACGTCAAGGAGGGCACCCTTCGGGTCGCAAGGCCCTGGCTCCGACCGTAACGGCCGCACCGACCGAACGCCGGCCGAAGAGGAGCGGGCCGGGGGCCGAGAGGCCCGTCCGCCCCCAAATGCCGCCTCGGCCTGCGCAGGCCGCGCGCCGCGCCCCCCCTTCCTCTCGGCGCGGGCCCGAACCGACCTGCGGCCGCTCCCCTGGCGCCAGGCGCCCCGCACTCCAGCTCCTCCAGCATCGCCCCGGCGGCGGCTCGAGCTCCCCTCAGACGGCGGAGGCGCGGGCTCTGTTCAGGCGGCCACTGCCGCTCGCCCTCCCGCCCGCGCCGCTGCTGCCGCGGCCGCCGAGCTCGTATTTGGCGGGAACCGCGGCGACCCCCGCAGCCCGCGCGGTGATTGGGCGAAGCTGCGTCACGTGACAACCCACCTCGGGAAGAAGGGAGGCCGGGAGCATCCTCGCGAGAACCGAGGCTTCCATTCCTCCCATGGCTCCCCTATTGATATTCCCGCGGAGCACCGGGGCTTCCGCTCGGCCGCTGGTCATTGGCAGGGAGGAGGTGCCCTCCGATTGGAGGCAGAAGATGTCAAGCTGAGAGTTCAACACTATGATTGGCTGAGTGCGTGGGATAGGTCTGCAGGAGGAGGGAGGGCCAGGCTCTTACGTCATGACGAAACGTTTTACGTAGGGTGACGGGTGACAACCTGAAACTGCGGTTTAGAGCAAGAACAAAGTTTTTAGTTTATGCTAATTGGGCATCGGCTGAATATTATAAGTATTAAAATTATAAATGTCTCTTTATGTGAACAACAAGGAGAAAATAAGTTAAATTCTGTGCAGCGCTTTAGAAGCATTTAATATGCACTAAATATATTCAGAGGGAATGAATCAAATGGATCTTTCTGGTTTAATCCTCAGGATTTTTGCACACGCTGTTTCCTCACCCAGAAAACTCTCCGCAGCTTTCTTCCTGGCTAGTTTCTATCTAACTTTCAGATCTTAGATCTGCACCTCAGAGGCGCCTTTCCTTCCCTATCCCCAACAGGGTGAAATTCCTACAACTCAGTTCTTTTCCCCTTTTTTTCTTTTTTTCCTCCTCCCCCGCCCTTTTTTCTTCGCAGTTCTTTTTCTTGAAGCAATTACAGCTTTTTTTTTTTTATTAACGTGTTATTTGATTTAGTATCTGTATTTGTCACTAGCTCCATGAGGGCAGGAATAATTTAACATTGTATCCCCAGTACCTCTCAGTGACTGATACATTAGCAAGGGCTCAATAAATAGTTGAGTGAATGCATAAACTTCATTTGATTGGACTGTGTGATCATGTAGATTAAAAACCTCACAAAGAACAGAGACCTTCAGTGTCAACCTGTGAGCCTTAGAGTCGGTTTTCTTTAGCACCAATTTAATCTCTAAAGAGGAGAAGTGAGGAACGAAGACTGAAATTTAGCCCAAGTTCGTAATTCTATTGATTCTATAGATTGGATAATTAAAGCTGAATTTTCACAAACAATCATGGGACACTACATCAAAAATTAATGAGGTACTGTATGGTGACTAACATAACATAATTTTTAAAAAAAGCTGAATTGTTAGGTATATCACTTTGGGCAGGTCATGTTTTACTCAAGGCCTGAGTTTCCCCATATGAATCATGACATTCTGGCATTTTGCAATGATTTAAACCAGTGGGTCACCGTTGAGAGTGCCTGACAGAATCACATGGGGAATTTTAAAAAAACTATTCATAACAGCCCCATCAGGATCTTTGGGAAGGAGGTTTGTGGCCTACATATTCTGAAACAATCCTCCATCTAGTCCAGTACCTTTTGTTGAGGCATTTGGAAACTTCTAGCAATCTTCTGCTTCAGAAAATCACCCAGATCTGTCAGAGATTTCAACATTGAAGTTGCAAACACGTTAGCTCTAGCCACTTTCTTGTTCCTCTTTTTGGATTAATTTATCCATTTCAAATCATTATTAACTTCCAATTAATTCAATTCAATAATAATTGATTTAAAAAACGAAATCAATTAACATGTATCAACCTGGAAGGACTTCCTGAAGGAGATGACATTCCAAACAGGTTTCTCTTTTATGCACAAAGGATGGAGGGAAGATTGGGGGAGAATGGAACAACATTAGCAAAGACCCATAGGAAACAGGGATCATGGATTATAGAAGAGGAAGAGAGCTGAAGTCAGAAGGGTTGATGGAACCAAAATGTGCAAGCTTTGTAGGCAGGCCATGCTAGGAAGTTGTGAGTGTATTCTGAGGACAGTAGACTAATGCGATATGAATTGTGTTATAGAGCATCTTTCTGACTATTTTTTAGGGGAAATTGTAGGGGGAACCTGCAGGTGGGCATACCAGAGAGGAGGCTGGTGGGATGGTCTAGTCAGGGCAGGGAGAACAAGGGGATAGAAAGGAAGTAGAAGTGACACCCTGATGTCTGACTTGGGCAACTGACTGGATGAGCACGTGGCAGGGTCAAGGAGGTGTGTGGGGGAGGGACTAAACGCAGAGAGAATTGGGTTAGCTGAGATTAACGAACAGGTAACTGGAGACTTGTAAACCCCGCCTCCCAACTTCTCCAGGATTTAAGCGCCTTTTCTAAAACTTTAGGACTACCTCCGGGGCCTCCAGGGGACGCTGTAGCCCCCATGGTCTCTCTAGGCTCGCTCCTGCCGGCTCGCTGGCGGAGGCAGCTTCCGCAAGGCAGACGACATGCGCGTGCGCTCTCTGGCCGGCAGGGGGCGCGCGTGCGCAGTCGGGGCCGGGGGCGCGCGCAGGCCGGTACCGGAAGTGTGCGGTTGCCATGTAATATCCTGGCCGCGCGGGCGCGCGAGGGGCTGAGGCGGCGCCGGCGCGGGCGCGGAGCTGGCGAGAGGGCGGTGGAGGCGGCGCCGACGGGGCCCGCTGAGGCGCGCGGGGTATCGGCGGCGCCCGGGAGCCTGTCGCTTGCGCGGTCCCTCCGGTTCGCTGGGTCCGGGCGGGAGCCCGCACGGTGGCAGGCAGTATGTCGGTGGCGGGGCTGAAGAAGCAGTTCTACAAGGCGAGCCAGGTGAGCGGAGGCCGAGGCGGGGGGAGCGAGCCCCGGGACCCAGGCTGCCCGGAGTCGGGGACCCGGCCAGGCCCGACCCTGGCTCGGAAGGGGGCTGCGGGCACCGAGGGGGCGGCGTTGGCGCGTGTTCCCCGCTGGGTGGGGAGAGCCCAGGAGGGACGGGGGCTGCCCACGAAGTGGCCCAGGCCCTCCCCGCCATGTGGGCTCCGGTCTCCCCGAGAAGGGTGGGCAGACCCCTGAGAGGGGCAGAGATGCACCCGGAGGTTGACCGGGACATGGACCCCTCCCCTCCCTTCCCTGTAAAAGGGCAGGGAGTGGGGAAGGAGCAGGGGAAGAAACACTCCTGAGGCTGTCGACACGGGACTTTTGCCAGAGAGCCCAGGGGAGGGAAACTTGGCGTCTGGAGTAGTTCTTTAAAACAAACAAACGAAAACCCCTTTTGATGGACCCGGTACAAAGTTGGGAAAGGGTAGAGTGAAAAGTCCGTTTCCGCGTCCGGCCCCTCAGGCATCCAGCCCCTCTCCCCAGCGGCAAGGACTGTCACCCACGATTCACATCCCTTTCCAAAGATATGTTACACCTTTCCTTTTAAAACACACACCGACGCGGTGGTAGCATAGTCCACATAGCCCTTTGTGCTTCGGGTTTTTCGTTAAATGGTTTTGGAGATAACGCTAGAGCTGGAATTCACCTCGGGTCGCTTTCTGTTGTGGAGGGACGTCCTGGGCACTGTGGGGTGATGAGCGGCATCCCTGGCCCCACCACTCGATCCCAGGAGCACCCCCCCCCATCCCGACACCACAGATATCTCCCTGTACTACCAAATATCCCTGGGGGAACTCCCCTTCTCCCCTTACCCAGAGCTACTGCGCTAGAGCATACCCCTAGAGTTTCTTTGACCTTTATAATGGGTTGGTGGTATTCCAGTCATCTATTGGGGACTGGTTAAATTTTAACCAGTCATCTATTGATGGATGTGTAGATTGTTTCCAGTTGGTTTCTGCTGCAAACGATACTGTAGTGAATAGCTATTGAATATCTTTGCTCACAGGTGGTTGGATTTACATGTTAAATTCCCAGAAGGGGGATGCTGAATCCAAGAGTATAGTGTTTTATGTGTGACGGATAAGTATAGGTTTTTTTGGAATGTCCAGGCCCCATTGCTTGTGAATCTGGTGAAAGCTGTGGATCCACTCTCCAGAAAACTGGGCAATGGGGGAATTCAGTTTATAGTTTCAGATCCAGGAAGTCCCAGATTCCTTGAATCCTGTTGGTTCCTGCATCCCAGATTAAGAACCTTAGGTATGGAGTCTGTGTGGATAGACTCCTCGGAGGAATGAGCGACCATCTTAGGGATGGTGTGGTCCCTGCTGGCAAACTGGGCTTTTCCCACAATTTGGAGAAGTTCAGTGGGAGGGAAGAGAAATGAGTCCACAGTAACACAGCTGGTACCTTTTGCCCCTTGATGGAAAAAGTCCTGACCCCACCCTACTGTTTTATCTAGGGCAAACCCCAGATGATGGCTAACCCCTGGTGGAAGAGAAACTTAATCCAGAGGGGTTCTAGGATTATTGCTGAGAGTACAGCCCTTTGCCCCAGCAGGATAGAATTAAAGGGACCTGGCCCTGGGTTAAACCTTGTCCGACAGGCACCAGATCCCCAGGGCTTGACCAGAGCACCTGGGGATGGTGCTTACTGTCTTGGACCTTGATGACCTTGATGTAGTCCCTCCTGCAGGAGAAGCCCTCTCCTCCCAACCCCCAGCTCTCAAGGCCCATGCTGGAGGTCCATACCCCATACTGTCCCAAGCAGACACACTCTGCTAGAGGCACTAGCTAGGCCGCTCTGGCTGGCCACCAGAGCTTTTGGTCTCAGCGGGAAGCAGGGTGTCCTGCATTCAGATTTGTGAGAAATACATTGAAACCTGGAAAGCACTGTGCAGTGTAAGCTGCTGGTTCAGATTGATTTGTGATCTCGCCATTCTGAGGCCCATCCCCAAAGAGCTGCTGCGATGGCCACATCCTACTTTGGGAGCGGCTGTCTTGGCCTCCTGATCAATCCTCTGCTGAGTTGTGCTCTCAAGAATCATGCTGGCTGTGCTCCATTCTCTTCTGCAATTGTTTCCACAGGCCCCCAGCATCTCTGCTGTTTATCCAGACGTGTCCATCTCCTTGTGTGTTTCTTTTCTTGTGCTCAGTACACCTCTTTTAATTCTCTTGTCCTCAGAGTAGGATCGGCTGTTGAGAGTATGAGGCAGTAA